AACTTTTTTTTTTTTTTTTTTTTTTTTTTTTTTTTTAATGTCTTTATTGATTTCAGAGAGAGGAAGGGAGAGGGGGAGAGAGAGAAAGAGAGAGAAATGTCAATGATGACAGTCATTGATCGGCTGCCTCCTGCACGCCCCCGACTGGGGATGGAGCCAGAAACCCTGGCATGTGCCCTGACTGGGAATCAAACTGTGATCTCCTGGATCCTAGGTCAGTGCTCAATCACTGAGCCAGGCCAGCTGGGCTGCTTGTTCATTTTTAAATGACAAATACTATTACCCTTTCTCTCATCGGTGAAGATGAAACAGTCTAAATTTAAGAAAGCCCAGTTTTAAAATATTGAACCTTTATAAGAAGGAATTCTTTCTAACTTTTTCAGTAGTTCACAAGTAGTATGCAATGCTACAAGGAACTGAAAAATTCAAAGGAATGTGGCCATATGTGCATATACATGTGTATGTGGCTATTTATATTCTACTTTATTTTATAAAAGATTTGAGGTTGTCAAGTCTGCAAATATTTAGTGAAAATCCGCAGGCCACTTGACGGATATTATATGCTTGTTGCTGGGAATGGAATCAGAAGTTCCCTCATAAACAGATGAGTGAGAAAATTCATTTCTCTGAGAAAAATAAGAAGATCTAATAATTACAGGAATTCAATGGATAAGCATGTTAAATTGAGGATAAAAATAAAAATGAATAACTGCATGAATTAAGGTTAAATTTAAGTAGAATTTAGATCATTTGCCTTAAAAGGATAAACAAATTCTTTCCTTGTTCAGGGCAGTTGACAAATAGCACATTCTATTCAGTCTCCTATCCAATGGGGCTCCGTTCCACACAGACACGTCTATCTCAAAAGTTCTTTTCTCTTGGAAAAGAACAGAAGGCGGTGAGAAAACAAGAAATCAAGGAGGTTCGAGGACTTTTTTAAGCTAAAGGAAAACAACCTCCAGGAAGAACCAGCATTAAAGGCAACAGGAAGCTGCAGGTGGGAGGTCCAGAATTCACAGGCCATCTGGAAGGACTTGGCTTTCTTTGAACCTCATTTTCAGCCTTATCGTGGTGACTCAGCACCAGGAACACCACAAGACCCAGGATGTGACAGTACTGTCCAGCCACTTCTGGGATTAGAAGGTAAACAAATAAACTACAAAGCTTCAGAATGCCTGGTCACAGAGTCAAGCCATACATAGTCAAAATGTCCACCTCTTAATTATATTCTAAGCATTTATTTACAGATTTATCTTGGCTTCTCTGACGCTTTAATCCTCCTAATCTACTACACTAGGACCTCTACCAAGACAAAGGAAATGGAAAAAGTAGTCACTCCAACTTTGCTGTTGCTCGGATTAACAATAAAAGTATACTAATTAATGAGAAGATGGTTAGCAATAAACTCAGAATTAATGCCAACAAGAAGCTTTGGAATTATCTCATTTTTTAAAATCCTTTTCTTCTCCCACTATCCTAGATAACGGAACTATTATTCATTCTCTAGGCAACAGGAAATTCAAACCTTAATCATAAAATTTAAGCAAACTGGTTTACCATTTTCTATGCGGGAGGATGTTCAGCATAAATTTGGATTTACTGGTCACTTGATTAAATGAGATAATGTATGTAAACAACTGTAGATAGTATCATTATGTTATCTTCATATTACTTAGACATAACAAGATTACTCAACTTTTCCAGTAGTTCTGGTCAGAAGATTTTGGAGGCAATTTCAGTCATGAATGTAGAGACAAGCTAAGAGATCTTTTCTTTCTTCTTACCAAAAAGGGCCAAGTGTCATTTATAAACTCTATTTGTGGCTTGTGTCTATTTAGGAATGGTGCCCCTTAAAATTAAGTAGTTACCTCTGATTCTGGACCTTGTTTTAAATGTAACACTTTTTTAATTGGTATATGGCTGGGAGTGGAAGTACTACTCTACTGGCATTGGAAGAGAATGGGATTCGATTTCACAAAGCTGCAACGGGGGAAGATAAACACACAAACCAACTGGTAAATAAACTATTTAAGTCATAGAAGTTCTAAAAGAGATCTCATAAACCATCTTATCCTTCCCTATACTCACTGTGCATGTGAATTCCATTTATTTGACTATCAAGTATACCATTGGTGTTTGCAGAACTGGCCTTCAGTGAACACCAGGATTGGGCCAGATATTCCGTACCTTAGGAAAGGGTTAATGTATTGATTACCTGTTCCCCTTGACTTCCAATTCCAGGGATGCCCATCGGTCCTTGGGGTCCCACAGGTCCCAAATCCCCCTGTGTAAAAGGTAAGTCAGAAATATGAAAAGAAAATGAAATTTCATTCTTTCATACTTTGCTAACCTGGAATTAGTCTGCATTAAAATCTATCTTTACATGCTTAAAAAAGTTCAACATGGAAAGTTAACAAACTCCATTCCTTTTAAACAATTTAGTTAAAATTTACCAAAGTAGTTAATGGTGTTTTTTCTATTTAGTCTAAATTGGTGAGAATTTGCACCCATTTATATTTATCAGTCATTTTTCTCATGAGAACCAAAAATTCTTGAATGGTTGTTATATGGAGTTCAGCTCTAATTCAGAACTGGGTTATTCTGATTCATAACTTGATTGCTTATCACTTGGCAGGCACTGTGCTAAATGCTTTTCATGCTTTATCTCATTTAATCCTTACACCACCCTCTAATAGTAGACATCCCCATTTTCCAGATGAGGTTAAGTAACACCCTAGTCAGAGGCAAGATTCAAGTCCACTCTCTCTGACTCCAGAACCCAACTCATAAACACTATTCTGCAAATATTCACCATACTCCATAAGAGAGACCCTCTTTCGTGCATTGTTATTTACACTTAAATAACTATATCAAAACAGCTTTCTTATTTTGTACCAATTATATGTATTTGAGAGCCCTTAACATAGAGGTATTTATCTTATCACTTGAAGTACAGACACCAAAGTCTCTGAATCTAATATACAAGGTTGGGCAAAAATTGGTTTACAGTTGTTCACACAGAAAATAATACAATAATTAATCAATAATAATATAAGAATATATTCTGTGTTTAATGTACTCACAACTGTAAACCTAACTTCACCTCACCCTATATAGAAAAGGACAGAAAAGGAAGAATGGGGGAAAGGAAAAGGAAGGTGGCATTGATTTGGTAAGGGAATAGCCGGTGACAGTTTTGCAATTACTCTGTGATAATGTCCTGATATTTCAATGTGTTTTCTTTGCACAAGCTCTAGGTATAAAAATTAAAATGCGATGTCAACAATACTTAAAAGAGTTAATTTACTAAGGTCATAAAAAACTGGTTCTGTTGTACTGAACTTTCACTGCTCCAAAGGAAGAAAAAGCATCTTACATATTTTTAGAGTACTTTGGAGCTGAAGTTACAACTAAGAATTGTATTACATCTAAAATGTGTATAACTCACTATTTACCACTCTCTCTGCTATTTAAATACAGATTCCTGAAGAGACCGCTACCAGTAAATTATAGAACTAAGTAATTCAAGATTGAAACACAACGCCTAAAATAATCTTAAATACCAATCATCATTCTAATATAATATAATGATATGCTTAGAGGTTCACTTATAAATGATTCCAAATTGATATGAGTAACTGCTGCTGCTTTACCAATTACAATGAAGACTGGCTCCATTTTTCTCACCACCTAAGTCATATTCATTAAAGTACCCAAACTTTAACATTACCCCCACTTCCTGAGAGTGTCCAGTTTAGAGACATTTCATACTTTCTTAGACATTTGCCCAAATCAACTAATATATAAGCCCAAATCCTATGAAAAAAACTTTCATCTTCTTACTGAGTTGTGATAGGTTCCCATAGTATGTGGTATCTTTCACTGAAATGAGTTAATAAACCTAAATTTGTTCAACTATTTGTGATTCTTATTGGTCCTTGCTGGAGGGCAACAGTGCTAGTTTTCTTAAATGAGTTATCTTATTTCAGCCTCCTTTTAAGGTAATATTTTTGAGTGCGAGCCTAGGAGTGGATATCCGCTACTCTAAGGAGGTCAAGTCATGTTTTCAACAGCTATTTTCTTTACTAAGTAGGAGTCTCTTCTGCTAATGTTTGGTTTCAAAGCAGCTTGACTGAAGATAGGGCTACTGGAAGTCAGAACCCAAATAAATGAGATATTACTATAAATATATAGCATGGGAATTTCCAGATCATAATTCATCCTACACAATAATATACCTCACATATACTTGATTTAGAATTAAGTTGACACCTTGTGGTGTGGTTGTCAGGATGTATACAGTTCATAAATATACATATATAACAAAATTTTAAAAATAACTATACTGGCATATTTTCTATTATATATTCTATATGCAGTACCTTGTCCCCTTTGATTGATAGGCCTTGTAGTCCTTGTGGGCCAATTGGTCCTTCAGAACCTTTATCACCCTGAAAGTATATGGGAGAAACATCAGTGCACTAATAAAAATCAGAATTTTACAACAGTTAAAGCATTCAAAGCAACCAAATTTACTGCCCACTGCAGATAGGTAATTCTAATTGACTCCAAGATTTGTAGCTTGCAAAAACTATTAGTCTTAAATAGGAAAGACCCTGTCCAAGCAGAACACATATGCAGCACCACTAAAGGTAGAAAAGAGCTCTATTCCCAATATAATCAGAAATATCTGGAGATGGAGAACCTGATTAATCACAAAGTCAGTCCTCCATCTCCTCAACATTGCTACAACTATACCCATTGCACAATGGAAATTTGTTTCTCGTATTAGTATATGAACTAATACTTACTACAGTTGAATTATTTATTAAAAGTTTTATATTAGAATTTATAAACATTTACTGAAAATTTAGTTTTAAAAGAATTCATGTAAAATCTTCTTGGATAGAATCACATGACCTATGTGAACAGCTCTAGTTGTAATGTAATATCAATGAAGTCATAACAGTGCATTTGTATGAAAAATAAACCATATAAGCAATCAAGTGGCATTCATCTCATGAATTGATTTGAACCAAGAGCAAAATCAAAGGACATTTGCAAGAAACCTAAGAAACAGTAGAATATACCTTTGTGTCTCTCTATTCATGATATATTCAGTTAATCCCTATGTCATTGCAAACAGCCCCAGGTGGCACATAAAGCAAACTCCCATTGGTCCTGCTGATATTTTGAATATTGGGTTCTTCTAATCATTTCCACAGTATATAATTGTATACAGCTGACTCTAAAACAACACTGAATATACTGTGTTGTTTCTTTGATGAGATAAAGGACAATGCACTGTGTGGGTTATTATGAACAAGGGGGTACCATACGTCATGTAGTTGAACTAGTCACTAAGACATACCTTCTTGTACACTTCTTAGTGTTTCATGTATTCATGTCTCATTTATTTCTTTATCTTTAAAACAGATTATAAAGAGAAGTAATTCTGGCTATTTAAATTTTCCAGGTTGTTTGGGCTATACATATATAGAAATTTATTATATAACAAAAAATAATTCAAGAAACTATGTATTATAAATCTTCCTGAAATGTAGTGCCAAATTGCTAGACTCTGTATCTGATAGTAACAATTGACATTTTATTAGTCAAGGGTGTTAGTTATGTCCCTTTTATCTAACATATTGTTTCCATTTATTATGACAAATTAAAATTTGTGAGTTGAAAGGGGCCTCTCTGAAAATTCAACCCAGCAGTCACTCAAAATTTAGTATGAATTATTTGTTTTAGCTAACTACCTTCCCTCCAGCTGAGATTCAGGTTTCTCATAGATCACTGAATATTGATCATGAAGGGAGAGGCTAAGACTGAGATGCAGTTTTAGAGCGTGAGGCTGTACTGAGAAGGTCAGAACTTAGCGACCTGACCGAATGCAGTGAAAGGTCTTAGTCATTGAGAAAAGAGCGTGTGCTTCTCTGGGCAGCGTGTGTATTCATGCATGTGTGTTTGGGGGAAAGACTTTAGAAAAGAAGGAAGAAGGACTCCAAAATTTATCCCTACTTACTCTGAAATTTTGTTAATGCTGCCCAAAGTATCTTGGAAAATCATGTCCCATGTGGCCTTTGGCAGAGGTGCCATAGATTGTGAGTAAACAGCCTAGACAAGGGATCAGCAAACCAAAAGTCCAGTGGCCAAATCCAGCTCACTGCCGGTGTTTTGTAAATACAGCTTTATTGGAACACAGTCACACTCGTTCATTTATACTACATTGTTTATGGCTGCTCCCATGATACAATGGCAGAGTTAAGTAGTTGCAACAGATAGCATATGGTTCACAAAGCCTAAAATATCTACTCTCTGGCCCTTTCAGAAAAAGTTTGCCAGCCCCTGGTCTAGAGGAACTTCAGCTCCAAGAATTATATGTGGAAAGCAGTGGAAACCTTTAAATTCTCAATTGCCAGGTAAAAGATTGGTCTTTCATAACATTTTGCTCCTTACGGTAATAAGGTTATTCCCTTTTTATTATACTAATGGCAATACTGTTACAAATCAGTTTACTAGCCTGTTTTTTTAATCTATGTTTCACAAAACAAATCTGTGGGCAAAGCTTCATCATAGCTACGCTCTGTGACTCATCTACTGGACATAAAGATGCTCTCACTGTGGTTTTAATGTCTACAGTCCAAGAGATTTTTCTAATACGCAATAATTATATAAAGTAGACATCTGTCAATTACTTATTCATGATGGCAAAATTCACTGTCGTCTCATGTCAAGGGGAACTTTACATATTCCTTCATTTAATAGGGTAAAGTTGGTCAGGAAAGTATTTGACTTCTGATCATTGGACACATTTCTTTAAATTTGTAATTCACAATGACACAAGACAAAGCACTTTTGCTAGTACAGAAGGTGCTGTTACCTTTGGTCCTGGGAACCCTTCTCCCGGTAAGCCCCTCTCTCCTGGTGCTCCCTCGGGACCTCGGGGACCCTGGTGAGAATAAAGGGATAAAAAATAGGAATAGAGAGGACAGGATAATGGGAGGAAGAGAAACAGAAGGGAGGAGAGGAAGGGAAAGAAAGAAAATGGTTATATTTCAGTTCACATGGGCATGGCAATGATATAGTCCTATTCAAGTCATTAGTAAGAGTCCTTCTAGTAAGCTTCATACTAGTCAGAATTATAGTGTTTTGAAGAATAATATTCCCATTGTATTAAATACTTCTTCTACTTGATTGGCATATGATGTTCTATTCCGGTGTCCTCAAACTAGTGGAAAATGGAAATAAAGTGATGCATCAGGTAAGGTATAGAAAATAAATCCTATGAGGAAAAGCTAAAATCTAGGACTATATGGCCTGGAGATGATGCAGAGTAATTCAATAGCTTAATTACTAGGGGAGCCCTGCAAAGAAACCAGTGCACAGCTATTTTAAAACTTTGAATTCTGTTTACATGTGTTTTAATTTCTATCCTCATAAATTTGAGCTTAAACTTGAATTATTTCAAGAACTAGTTGAATCCCCTGGAGGTTTATGTGTAAATAGTAATCTTGACCAAGGGAAATATGCTTTTCAACCTCAATAATTAAAATTAAGAAGCTTATGTAACTATCGCTCAGAAGGGCACTAGGAAAGGTGAGAACTTCTCACATAAGGAAAGAAAAACAATGCAGTCTCAGCTTTGAGGTAGACGGGCAGGAAAGGTACTCACTGAAAATAAAAGACAGCAGTAACGTATTCACTTAAACACCAGGAATTCTAAAAGGCTACAGATTTTTCCTCTTGGTCTTCTTGGCCAGCAGGCCAAAAAGTAGGACAGGGACTAACAACAGGAATCTTAGAAGTGCAAACTGGAGCTTTTCTTTAAATGGGCCTAAAAAGATAATTAGGACTCACTTGCCAGGGAAGTAAACTTCTGACAGAACAAGAGCCACTGAGCTGCCCAGCAGACGCTCTGAATGGTCTTGGGGCTGGATCTGCAGTCAATCAGGGTAATTTAACAGATGCTTTCTATGCAAACCAGGAGGCAGAATCAGGATGGACCATTATGCTAATCAGTGACTGAGCACAGTTATGGATTTATAAGAAAAAAGCTTACAAGAAAGCTTGCAAGGACTGTATCTCAGTGTTTAATTCCCTCCTCCCCCAATACGGTATATTTTAAAACACAGCTTTCTTTAGTATTTATGCATAGTCAATTTAGTAAAGGTTTTAATTAAAATAAAAAACTAACATTTAATTCCATTTAAATTGCTATGTTTATGGGAAAACCTAGTTTTTTAGTTCTTAATAAAAGCATTAATATTCATGACAACTTACTGTAATGTTAGAGCAATTAACTAGGGGAAAAATAAATACAAGCATGAAAACTGGATTGCCAACCAGACAATGTCTAGCTAACATCACACACTCTACAAAAAGAAATATTGACCGATTATCTTCTTTCCCAATGATATGACAAATAAAAATAACACAATTTTTACTAAATGCAAAGAAGTCTATTTTCCAGTTCATTCAATATTTTTTTTCATTCAATTAATATTTACCAAATGCCTAAGAGGTGCAAAGCTCTGTGCTAGGCTCTAAGAAGAGCACACAGACCTGCTTTCTGTCTCATGGAGTTCATAGTCTTGCATGATAATTAAAAGCAGATTTTGGTGTCATTTGGACTGACTATTAGCAATGTGACCTTAAACAAATAATTTATTCTCTCTAAAGCTCAGCAAACTCATCACAATGGTGGTAACAACAGCACCTACCTCAACCTCAAGTATTAACGTAAGGATTAAGTCAGAGAGATTTAAAGCTTTTATATATCAAGCACACAATTAGTATTTCCTATCACTATCAAAATTATTTTACTTGAATCAGTTACTAAGAATGTCCTTTTATGGACATTTTGACAAAAAAGGTAGTCTCAGCATGAATGGTTGATACTATCAAGAGAGGCCTGCTGCACAGGATAAACAGGGATCCTTCCTTCTCTGCATTTCTAGAATACAATCAGCTAAGGTGAAAATGAAAATAATAGAGGCTTTTAGGAGCCACGTGTTCCAAACTGCTGAGACCAAAGAGTTAATGCTGGTGAGCAATCACTTAGGAGCATTTTTAAAAATGGAGAGCCAAGGTTCAGTTACTGTAAACTGTCAAAATAATATTCCACACCATCAGCATACTCTCAAGTTCTCTAGTTGGGCAGTTAGGATAAGATAGGATTGTTAAGCAGAGAAGAGAGAGAGCAGATACTTGGGTTAGATGAATTATATTTTTCATTTATTAAGACGGGATCAATGGATTATTCTTTAAAGACAGAAATGCTTCTATAAAAAACTCAGTGTCCTTTTCAAAGGCCATGAGAATCAATTGCAACTATGACATATTTATTTGGTGTCTAATGGACACCTCTAATAAAAAAATATAATAGAGGAAACTCATTATCTAGTATTAGCATAGTCTGTCAGCGAAATGCTTTGTTTGGGACATTAGCAAGATAAAATATAATTATCCATTATTTTATTACTTTCCTTAATAATCTAAATAGTGTGGATATTTAATAAAGTGATTTTTAATATACATGGCAAGCATTAAAGATAAATATATTAAATAATAAAAAAAATTGTCTATAATATTCACACATGCCATGCACTTTATTTTTAACCTCAAAGTAATTACAGTTTTACTTCAGGGAGTAATGTTTTACTAGTAGTGCTTTGACTAACCTCACACAAAAAACAAACAGATCACCCTGAGAATCTGAATCGATTTCTTTTTCATGAATCAGTCATCTATGAAACCAGCACAAAATGAGTGGTAATCAAATAATTAAAGATGATAGTTTCTGTATTTGTTACTGGACTATAGGCATAAAATTGATTTTGTATGTTCACCTTGCATCCTATGACCTCAGTGAATTCAGTCATTAGTTCTAGGAGGTGTGGTATAGATTTCTGGGGATTTTCTACAAAGACCATTATGTCATCTGCTAATAGGGACAACTTTAATTCTTCTTTGTGATCTTTATGCCTTTTATTTCCTCTTCTTGCTTTATTATGCTGGCTAGGACTTCTAGAACTACGTTGAATAAGACTGGTGAATGCAGAAATCTTTGTTTTTGATTTTGCCTTTTCGACATTGAGTATAATGTTAGCTGTAGTTTGGAGTCTTTTTGGTTTTTGTTTGTTTGTAGAAGTTGAAGTTCCCTTCTATTCCTAGTTTCTGAGGGTTTATGAGGGGTTTGAATTTTAAATTTTGCTGATTGTGCCCGGCCTGCACTGCTCATCGATTGAGCGTCGACCTAGGATCCAGGAGATCAGGGTTCGATTCCCCATCAGAGCCAGGGTTGTGGGCTCGATCCCCAGCAGGGGGCGTGCAGGAGGCAGCCAATCAATGACTCATCATTGATGTTTCTGTCTCTTTCCCTCCCTCTCCTTTCCTCTCTCTGAAATCAATAAGGACATTTTTTTTTTTTTAATGTTGAAGTTTAAAAAAAATTTTTTGAATGCTTTTCTGTTTCTTTTTATATGATCATGTAATTTTTTTAGCCTATTAATATGATGTATTATATTGATTAACTTTCAATTATTAAATCAGTCTTGCATCCAGGAATGAACCCCATATGGTCACGTCGTATAATTCTTTTTATATGTTGCTGACTTCTATTTGCCAGTATTTCGTTAAGGATGTTTTTGTCTATATTCATGAGGGATATTATTCTATAGTTTTCTTTTTATGTATTGTCATTGTCTTGTGTTGGTATCAGGGAAAAACTGGCCTCATAAAATAAGTTGGGAAGTGTTCTTTCCTCTTCTATTTTTCTGGAAGAGATTATGTAAACTTGACTGTATACATAATGTTTTATGTCTTTTCAAGAAAATCTAAAGCACATGTAGCAGAATATTAAGATTTGGTTATCTGGTGGAAGTTCACTAAATCCTCTATATTTTTTAGCAGCTCGTTTTTAAAAATGTATTTATTTAGTTCATTTTTATTTCCACTTATTCTGAGCACTGATAAAAGATTCTTGTTTATTCTGCTTTTAAAATCCTAGATTCTCTGCTGTATTCCCTGTACACATGGCGATCTATATGTGCCTGTGTCTTTCTTTCTAGTTGTTGTCCCTCCAGTTTTCTAGGTTACCAGCCTCTCCAGTGAAAAACTAGCAGTGTCTGCAAGAAAGCTGATTTCTTCTCTCTCCAGGCTTTATCATTAAGGGCACCATCTAGTTAGTAGAAACAGACTTCATCACTGATCTCTAGATAATTAATCTAGTATATCTTTCCTCCATAAGATGTGTTCTTTTTTGAATTAGTGCATGTAGACATTAGTGAAAAGCTAATCCTCAAGCAATATGCTCCCATTCCACTCATAGAATACAGCTGGGAAGCACACTTCTGTTACTATTTACACATGAGGAACTATGCCATGCACAAACAAATTGGGAGTTCAACTATGTTTCCGCTTGTACCCCAGTGAGTCAGCTATTGTTCTTTTCTAGGACAATGCTTACTTGAAAAGTTAAGAAGCTTCTTATGCTAGAATGGTCATGTTTTATTCATTTCCTCTTCAGATCTCTTTTGCTAGAAATATTTTTTTTCTTTTCCAACAAAAAGAAACTTCAAAGCTACATGAAGTAGAGCCTGCAAATAACACAGGTATGGCCTCTCTACCATCATTAATATCAGCTTTAGAGTCCACTCTTGGATTGGGTAACGGGCAAAACCCTCATTGTCAATGAATTTCTCATAGTTACAGGAAAGTAAATTACAAAGTACAGACATTAGGCCTGAATCCAGATCTCTTATCTCCTAGGAAATGTCGACACATAAGAATTATCCTTCTTGAACAAACCGATTCATCTTGTAAGAGATTACAGTAAGGGAGAGCCAGCGGTACATATCCTACATATATACAGGTGGGGCAAAAGTAAGTTTACAGTTGCTTGTATGGAAAATAATACAATGATTAATAATAATACAAGAATAAACTGTTTTGTGTACTCACAACCATAAACCTAGTTTTGCCCCTTCCTGTATATGTGTGTGCTTGTGTGTGTGTCCCTCTTTCAAACATTATGAAAAATGACACTTATATCTGGTTCTACCATATTTATTGCCTATTGTTGTCCAAAAGATACAAGATGGACTAACTGAACCATTTATTCTAACCAGAAGGAGCACATAACTATGTCTGTTCTTATTCCATCTAGAATTTCTTGCTACTTACTGGCTGGCCTGGCTCACCAACACCAATTGGTCCCGGAGCCCCTGTTCTTCCTTCCTGGCCTCTCTCCCCCTAAGAGAAAGAAATCATCAAATGAAAGTTTGAGTTTTAAATATAGAAGAAACATAGCACAAAATACTCTAAAAATTTCAGCAAACATATATAGCAAAACAGCCAAACTTTTCTCATTTCATAAAGATTTTAAGAAATCTGGAGGAGGAGAAATGGCTTGAATTGAAGTGAACAAACTACCCTAAAATGTTCAGCATCCCTTCTTGTCTAAGAGCAATATGGCACGTCCGCTTTCAGAAACTGCTGTGTAGTAATTGCAGGATGGTCTATGTGTGATTCATTTTGGCTACTGAGAGAACCACGCTGGCCATCCTCACGCTGTTCCTGCCCCCTCGCCACCACCCTGGAAGGCTGTCCTTCCCCCCCCATTCTGTTCCATGTCACCTCTCCTCTCAGTTCTGTTTCACACTTTATCTCCTTCAGAAACCCATCTCCAATAACTCCACCAATATAAACTCCACCTTCCCTGAAGCCTCAACCTTCCCTGTGCTGTTGTGTAAATGCCATCCGTGGTGACAGTTGATTACATTCAGAGTGTACTGTTCTGTCCCACTCTCTGTTTTAGTCCTGCATCAACATCTTTTTGGCCCCAAGACATAGAAAATCCATTTAAAATAAGCTCTATTCATCCTGCACGATGCAGAGGCTGCAGGGTGTTGGTATTTCAGTCCTTTCTGGTTCCCCACAAACCTTCCTGTCAACGTTAACTTTTCAGTGTCATGGTTCTTCTGGTTTCGGCCCCCGTAGGCTTATTTACTGTGAGCATGTGATAGTTGATGTGTGAAGGTGTTTCACGTCCCAATAACATTTTGCATGTTAACTTTTCAGTGCATGGGAAGTCAACAGAACCAGATGTACATTGGCAAGAAGGTGGGTATTTGAAGACAAGCAAATTTTTTCATCCCAACCAAAGAACAAAATGCATTGATTATTCTTGTGGTAACTGCCCCTGACCAGGGCACTCAGTGTCCAGGTATCCCGACTGTAAGTAACTTCTGCAAGCAGCCTCCTTGTACCTATGAGGGCAAGGCTGAGCAGAATTTAAGTCAAAGCTCCTCCAACCCCTACAATAAATTCAAAAATCATCAATGGGCAAAGAGTCATGTATCTTTACCTTAATACCTTGCTGTCCAATACCAGGAACTCCCGGAGGACCGTAAGGACCAGGAGGACCTGGCTCACCCTAGAGGAAGAAATAATGACATGTTAGCTAAAGTAAGTAATATTTGTTGGGCAGCTCTTAGATTCATAGTGATGTGATAGGGGCCTCGAGGGCAACAATGAAAACTAGTACACAGTCTCTGCCCTCAACGGTTTGCAAATCAGTCAGAAACACATCATTAACCCAGGGTGGAATTGTCCACTGGGCAGAGTAGGCGCAGTATTTAAGGCTGACAAAAAATGTTTCCATTTTTATTTTTTAAACCAGAATTAAAAAATAAACATAATAAGAATGAATACATAAAATTGAATTCAGTCTGGATTTTATTTATCTTTATATCAGCTCAGTTGTAAAACACTATTTTTAACATATTTTTAGGAAGGAGGGGCCCACAAAGGCAAAGTTTTTAGGATCCATGAAAATTATAATGCAGCCCTCACTTGTTCATTCAACAAATCTTTATTAAGTGTTTCTGGCAGACATATATTATTTTCTACCCAATGACCATCTTCTCTCCTCTTTCCTTCCTTGCTGTTAGAAATCTGACCTGTTTGGGTCATGGGCAGCTATTCTTTGCCCTCAGGATGTAGGATGAATGAAAATTTATCTAATGCAAGCCTAGAATCTCCTTTTCCTTGGCCCCTGGCTAGTCTAGGTTGGCCCTTTGGCTGAGTTCAGACAAATGTCGGGATGTTATTGAATGCAGAGAAACCTTTTGCCTCGGCCTCCTCTTACCTTCTTGGAGCTGTGATTGCTGTCTATAGCCTTGAGGCAACAGTCTCTAAATGACTGCCAACGGTTGAAGAGGGTGATGCAGAAACCATTTAAAAGAGCCTGCCAAGCTCCTGGAGGACCTCATTAAGCTACTGATTTTGCCCTGGACCATCTACCTTCAAACATTCTGTCTATTCAACAGAAAGAGTGCTTCTGATGTAAGTCACTATTAGTCAAGATGCCTGTTACTAGAAGCCAGGGCATTTTCCATTAATGCTTCTACTATGTAGCAGGCCTGGCATCGAATTCAGGCCTTACAGAACTGAATAGGAGCCTCAAGCTCATCCATTTCACAGGTGACGAATCTGAGTCCCAGAGCGGTTACTTCAAAATCAGTTCCTTGTGAGAGTTTATGATGCTTTGGCATGTGAGTGGATTGAATTTAAAAGTACCTTCTGTTCATCCTTTTGAGTACAAGTCAATTTGGCAGGTAAATCAACTTCAATTTTTCCCTTTCAAGTTCAAGGTTGTAGTTCTTTGTCTACCTAGATTAAGTTTTCTGGAGCAGCCAGGTAACTGCCATTGTTATTTTTGACGTGTTCCTGGCCGTGGAATTTCTCTCTATATAATATCAGATCAAAAGTTCTCCCTCAATTTAAAGCTGTTTTCTTAATCTCAAAGTTTGATTGAAGTGCTAGAGAATATTCAGTTTCCTAAAGAATCCAGGTTTTCACTTCAAAGAACCTTTTCCTTACAACCTCTTGTGCTGTCCACTCAAGTTGGAATCTCCTTGTCAGTTATACTGCGTGTGGTGACTGTGTCCATTACTCAGCAAAGGAACACCAAGTACGTGCTACGTGGAGGGGAGCAAAGGAAATACAGAGATGTTTAAGACATGGTTCCTCAACTCAAAGCACTAGTTAAAATGTTAAATGATGCCTGGCTGGGTGTGGCTCAGCGGTTGAGCGTCGACCTGGGATCCAGGAGATCAGGGTTTGATTCCCGGTCAGGGCACATGCCCGGGTTGCGGGCTCGATCAATGACTCTCTCATCATTGATGTTTCTATCTCTCTCTCTCCCTCTCCTTTCCTCTCTCTGAAGTCAATAAAGATATATTTAAAAAATAAAAATAAAATAAAATGTTAAATGATGATAATAATAACAATAGTAATAATAATGATATAAGCCCTAAATTCCTTTATTGTATTTATTCTCTGACCCTTTTGTATGTAGTTTGATTCTGTAATGGGTCAGAAGGTTCTTAAATATTGTATATGTCATACATATTATATATTTAGAAGAGAATTTAAAATTTTTTTAGGTAGCAGAAGCTCTGTCCTACTTAGTCCTTGCCTGTGTGTTTGATCTAGAACAAAGGAGCACAGGTTGGTGAGAAAGCTTCCTCTGCTATGCACAAGGCAGCAATGCGGTTGTTACCTTGAAATGTGTAAGCCAGGAGAATCAAGAGAAGTGACTGTCTTACTCTTGAGCCTACGAGCTCCCTTTAGCTTTAGTCAAGTATCAGTAGCAACTGGGAGATTTCTTAATGTTGCTCTTTCGGGGAAATTACAAGGATCTGAAGCTTACAGAGGGATTGCTTTCCCCTACCTGAGCACAGCCCTGTAGTACATACCCTCAAATTTCACTTGTTTCAATTTCTTTCTCAGGGGCCTAGCATCTCAGCATAGGACCTGCAGGCCAGTATTGGCCAGCAACGAGCGTTTCCCTTTTCATACTTCCCCTTTCCCTTTCCTACAAAGATTCCTGAGATCAAAAAAAAAAAGTAGTCCTTTTTGTAAAGTACCACAGCTGGGCAAGACAGAACAAGAGAGGAGAGTCAGCACTGTATTCTGAATGATTTTCTGGGAATTTCCAAGGCAACACAGCCCTGGTAAGACTCCAGGCTTGATTCCTTTTCTGCTATTATTCTTGCCCCGACCTGCACCAGCAAACACACACACACACACACACACACACAGATNTCTGCTATTATTCTTGCCCCGACCTGCACCAGCAAACACACACACACACACACACACACACACACACACACACACGAATGCCCTGAGTATTACTTATTATTTCTCTACTTCACTTTCTTTAACCATCACAGGCTCGTGCAAAGAGGACTGGGTAAAAGCGGTGGCCCCAGAGGGCCTCTGTTTCTTATGACGTCCAGCGAGTGTGAATGTGCGCGAGCAAGTGCAGGGGCATCACTGAAGTCAGGTCGGCCACTTTGGTCCTTCTCAGAAATTAAAAACTTTTACACTATGGGCCTCAAGATTGAAGGAAGCCAATGCTTAATTAAACCACCTATTCCCAAGGACTGCCCCGACACTTTATATATGTTATTTAATCTTCTAACAATCCTAGAAAACAGGTATTTTTCCACAATATGATGTTGAAATATAATCTCCACATTTTTTTATCTATTTTTCAGCGTGTATGAAATCAGAGGGGAAAAACAGCTTTGGAGTCAGCCATTGTAGTTGAATCCTAGCTCTATAATTTACTAACATTTTGAGCGTTTGTAAGATCCTCAAACGCAAAATGAAGATGATTATATCTACCTTACAGGCTTGTCGAGAGGACTCAAGATATTGTCTGTAGAATATCTAAGTCATAACCAGTCACGTGGTAGCTGTTTAATGGGTGCAGATTCAGTTGTTATTCATCAGGCTTTCCTTGAGCACCAGCCTGATACCGAGCACCCGGTTACATAATTACAGACATAAATCAGGTTGCACCTGCACTTTCAGACACTTACAATCTGGCTGGACAGAAAAATGAACATAAAACAAGATTAAAGCATGTAAATTAGGTATTATAAAGACATTAACAGAGCATGTAAGACTCTGAGGCAGAAATGTTTAATTCTGCCTTAAGGAATTGGGAAAATTTCATATAGTAGAGGTGATATGTGCTCTGAACAAAGAAGTAGGAATTATATCTTGTCTGGTAGAAAAGGGGAGCAGAAGTTCAGGAAAAGGAAAGTATATAAGACATAAAATGATTCGAAATGTTCTGGGGACAGTAAGCCGTGGGCTCAAAAGGACAGGAATGAGGTGACAATAGGGTTACTGTCTGGAGCAGTGCTGTCCACTAAAAGTACACAATGAGCCACACATGTAATTTTAAATTTTATAGTAGCCACATAAGGAAAGTAATAATATATTTCACTTAACCCAATATATCCAAAATATTACCCTTTCAACATATAATCAATATAAAAATCTTATTAATGATTTAATTTTTCATTATTTTTAATGCTATGACTTTGAAAGCCTATGTGTATTTAACATTTATGAAACATCTTAATTTGCACGAGCCACATTTCAAGCGCTCAGTAGACATATATGGCCATTGTACTGGACCCCACGGATTTAGAATGATTAAATCACAGGCTGGAGGCTCAGGTCAGAACCACGGAGAGTACCAACAATTAAATGAAGTGGGAGTGGAAGAACAGAGATGTCTTGTGGGAAGTTGGGAAGACAGTGACCAAGAAAAAGAAATGTGAGCTGACAAAAACAGCATAAAGGAAAATCAGGAAAAAGAGATTTTTAAAAGAAACTCATAATTTCCAAAGACAAACTCATATCTTCCATTTGCTGTTTCGATCACCTTCCAGCATTCTCTATCTCAGGAAAGGGCACCACAGTCCCTCCATGGGTCAAGCCAGACCCTAGGACTCATTCTGGACACCTCTCCCTCCCTCATTCACCATATGCAATGCATCACCAGTGCCTGGCAATATGCCTCCTAAATCTCTCTCAAATCCATCCATCTTTTCGATCTGCTACCATGTCTCTACAGTCTACCCCAAATTAATATCATCTTCTGCTCAGACTACAATAAATTCCTTAGTACTCTACATGTATGCATTTCAGCACACTCTAATTTATTCCCCTCACTGCTGCCAGAGCAGCCTTCTCATTTGCATTTTAATCTGAGTAAAACCCTTCAAAGCCTTTCCCTTCACTCTTAGGGTAAAGACAGAGCTCGTTACAAGGCTTTTAGCTCCTGTACAGTATGGTCTTGTGGCCTTTCCTATCCCATCTGTTATTAGTTCCTTCTTCACACGCCACCCTAGCAGCACTGACCTTTGTTCAGTTCCTTATACTTGCCATGTTTCTTTCTGCCACAGGATCTTTGCACGTACTATTTTACCTATCTGGGATATTCTTACTTCCCTATTTTCCTAGTCAATTCTCTTTTTTTAAATTTATCTTTATTGTTGAGAGTATTACAGGTGTCCCATTTTTTCTCCCCAATTGACCCCCTCCACTCCACTCCCACCCCTTCCT